ATTTGCGGTTTATGGAGAACGCAGCTCAAAGGGATGGTCCAATAGCAAAAAGTTTCAAATGAATGTTGTAGCTGAAGTTTTTTGCTATAAAAAACTCAGCGACAACACCCTTCTATCTGCTATAGTTTTTTTTCTGCAGCGTCTTGAATACTAGCATGTTTTTATTCAAGGTCACTGAATCAACTTTTTACCTGTTTGCGCGCGTTTGATGCAGCAGCGGCTAAATGCATAATCCGATTTCAATTTTTTAAACACCACATTATTGCTATCTCTCCAATGCTTTTTTGTTCGAATTTTTTGCTTGAAAATTAAGCGAGCACGGACTTGGCTAATGTGCGAGGAAGTTGTAAATTGCATCGAAAACTACCCCTTTCTAGCATTCACTGTAATTTCTAAACGGGGCCAAATATTTGGTGACAGTTTTCGACAATCGGCAGCCCATTTATTCCTCTCATATTGCCACAGCGGATTTTTTTTTCGTTAATTACTCATTGACTTATTGGCCTGAACAGGTCGCGCGGAATTTTTCAAAAAGTCGAAAAAAATTAAAATTGTCGCACGGCGCTGAAATTTGGTACGATGGCTTTTTTTATTGTTTTTATGAACATACTGAAATTTTAATTGATTCACATGACTGCTGCAATAATTAAAATTGCAGTATATTCATAAGAACTAGTATATTATGATATAAGTGTATAAGAGGGCATTTAAAACACGACGCGCAGCGGAGTGTTTTGTAAGTCGCAAGGGCTTTAAATGCCCTCTTATACACGCATATCATACGCTATTTTTTATTACGAATGCATCATAATCTCAAAAACGTTTTTAAAGTGTTCATTCATTTTGATAAGTAGTAATTTAAATGCCAGGTATGCAGGTAAATATCTAGGTAATGAAGGTAGATCGAACGTTTATATAGCAAACCTTTGAAAAGGTAGACGCATCATAAACATCATTTTATGCACGCTGCAGCGTGCGATAATCGTTGATTATGATGCATGCGTAATAAAAAATAAATAATGCCATCGTACCAAATTTCAGCGCTGTGCGACAATTTTAATTTTTTTTGATTTTTCGGAAAATTCCGCGTGACGTGTTCAGGCCAATAAGTCATTGAATAATTAACGAAAAAAAAAATCTGCTGGGGCAATATGAGAGGAATAAATGGGCTGCCGATTGTCGAAAACTGTCACCAAATATTTCGCCCCGTTTAGAAATTACAGTGAATGAAAGAAAGGGGTATTTTTCGATGCAATTTACAACTTCCTCGCGCATTAGCCAAGTCCGTGCTCGCTTAATTTTCAAGCAAAAAATTCGAACAAAAAAGCATTGGAGAGTGCATTTCATTAGCAATAATGTGGTGTTTAAAAAATTGAAATCGGATTATGCATTTAGCCGCTGCTGCATGAAACGCGCGCAAACAGGTAAAACGTTGATTAGGTGACCTTGAATAAAAACATGCTAGTGTTCAAGACGCTGCAGAAAAAAAACTATAGAAGATAGAAGGGCGCTGTCGCTGAGTTTTTTATAGCAAAAAACTTCAGCTACAACATTCATTTGAAACTTTTTGCTATTGGACCATCCCTTTGTGCAGCGTTCTCCATAAACCGCAAATTACCCCTAAAAACCACCCCTAACTAAAAACCCTATGGAAATACAAGGTCGCAAACTTAATATGGTATTAAGCACATGAAAATGAACCGATCCCCCCCAAAAAATGTTAACTTCTAATTATGTTGAGGTAAACCCTCTTTTTAGATCCCCGTTTCTTGGACTATAAGGAGATGCCGTCTAAGCAGTTTTTATGCTATTCGGATTAGCTTCGTTGAAGTGGCGAAATACGAGTTATCTCGTAGTCGGCAGTCAACGTGTTAAGGGATTGATTGAATTCAACCAGTTACCAACTGATAAAATGCTGTGAACAAATTAATACTTTTAAAAGAAAACTCAGACAGTATACAGGGTGTATCAGGTATGAGTACAAATATTTCAACATGAGATAATATGGCCCATTTCAATCTAAAACTGTCGTATTAACCATGGCCAATTGTTAGTATTTTCGGAGTTATCGCAGAATTTAAATTTAGAAAAATGTTAACAACGTGATAACATTGTACATCTATTATCTCTGGCAGGATATAAATGTAAATAAAACTGGTAATTATAAAAAGTTTTTTTTGCCCGGAGTTTATTTATTTGCATCTGGTTACGTTTCGGTTTGTTATTGGCTTCCAAATAATGTAAATGATAACTTGCATTTTTATCACTTTTCTAATAAAAATAAAAAATGTGCCGTTTTATTGTGATTTGGACTCAATGACATTTATGCACTAAATATTCAAGAAAAAAATCAAATAATACTTACTCAGCTCCTTGCCAAATCCTTATTATAAAAACAAATTTTTGTTAAAAGGTTCTCAGAATCAGAATACTAAAATCAACACGCAGATTTTGCACAATCCCACTTCCTGTATCAGGCAATCTTTGTAAAACGGGCACAATGTTCTTTCATCAGGTGAGTGCTTTTCTTTTGAGAAATATTTCCCTAGTTTCCTGTAAATTCTGACGGCTAAATGAGCATTTCTCAACCATTCTGCCTAAACCAGTATCTGCATACCTATTCGACGTTTGTAAACATTTTATTCTCACAAAAAAATGAATTTGAATTACGCGAGTTACCCAACTAGACAAGACAAATCAAGAATCAATTTATTCAGTTCAACCAAGGTTCAACGTTCAACTCCAACTACCTATTCTTTATTGTGCTATGTTGCCAGATGCTTAGATACGGATTTACAAGTGAAATTTTTAAGTTGTTTTCTCAATTTTTTGTTATTGTTGTTGACTAAAAATGCATAATTACTTAATAATTGAATAAACTAGATTTTTTTACATCTCATAATGATTAAAATATTCTTTATCTTTAAAACATTCGTCAAAAAATGTCAAAACTTCAAAGACCATTTTCTCAAAAATGGTTGAGTTTGGACCCCATGTTGTATACACTTTTTTTGTTCAAAATAAGCCATATTTTCACATGTTAAAATTTTTGTAGTCAAACCTGATACACCCTGTACATATTAGGGATAAGACAGATTACATTGCATTCAGAGATTACATTGTATACTTTTATTTTTATTTATTTGAGTTATTTAGAAAGTGCTGGAATCTGTCATGTTTTCGTCTTTCGCTTGTTCTTCTTTAAAAGAATTTAGGATTTTTTTTTTTTATTGCCAGTTTTATGTTTAATTGGGTATTTGTGTTGGATGAAAATAATTGATGTGTAATGTTGGTTGATTCATTTTCCTGTGTTTTTTAAAAGAAAATAGGTTCATTTCACATGATTGATTTTAAAAATTTATACAGTACAGTTCGTTTTTGTCAACTTTTTCGTCGATTTGCTCCGAAATTTTGACGGGTACGTGATTTGTAAATTGAAATTGTCTGATCCAGTCACGTGCCTGTCAAAATTTCGGAGGAAATTGACGAAAAAAAAGCAAAAACGAACATGGCCAGTGTAGATAATGTTGAGATGACTTATAGTCTGGCAAGTGGTAACTTGGTAGAGACGAAAGGGGGAAGAAAAAAGGGGCGTAGCCAAGTCTTTGGGTTCAGTGGCACCGAAAACACCAGGGAAATAAACTAATAAAATTATTAGAAAAAAATTCTCTAGTTTCGCCAATAACCACGCCACTGCGTGCTGTCGTTCAGACTCTAACCAATAGAATCATGCCTCTGAATAATCACGCCTCTCTACATCTATTATTTCGCAATGTTGCCGGATTTTTTTCTATTTGAAAATATCCCCATATAGCAAAAAAAAATGTCACTAACTTGTTTATTATTGTTTCTGTCAAGTTTGGGTTAGTTGGCAAATTCTATTGGAGTTCGCCGTTTCGCTAGCCAGACAATATATGTAACTCCAGAAATTAGTTATAATAGATTACAACAACAGAAAGAAAATGTGGGAAGTTTTTTTCTCTTGTAAGTTGACCCCCACCCCCCAACTCTGCGGCCATTAAAAACCGTCTGTCATTTTTTATTGGTCAATTATTTATCAATATCAATTTTTTATTCAAATGCCAGACCATTTAGGATCATAAGAAAACAAAAATGTTTCATATTAAATGAAAATCGATTTTTCGAAATTTCGAACCAGAGGCAGGGATTAAAACCACCCATATTTTGATCAGCTAACTAGCCACATTCAGCCGTCCTCAAAATGTCAGACAAAAACCTATCAACCACTATATCTATGTACTGCTATATCCTGAATCCTGAGCGTAATATTTAAGCATGCGAGTTGAAGCTGCTATAGATTCAACATTAATAGGAATGTATCATTCGGTTTTGCGATATTGGTGAGTCTTGCTGCCCAGATAAAATTAAAAATTTACCAAAGAACAAAATTAAATAAGTTTTAGAAAATTGTCTAGTCAGCAAGGCCTTCTATATTATCTAAGATATTTGTGCGGATTCTGATAAAAACCCAATTCAGATTTTAAATCCTACTCTCGAATTTTTTTCTCTGAATAAGTAGTCTAGTCTCGAGTCTAGTATTATGTTTCAACTTTTATTCGTAATTGTTTTAGATGAGTGTAAGATATTCTCTCGGATATTCTTTTCATTAAAAAAAAAATGATGTTTTATTTTATTTTATTATACAATTTAAAACTATAATAGTTATTTATGATATAAGTGCTAAAAGTGACATTTTATTTTGTGAAAAGGGGAGTTTGGAACACGACGCCGAAGGCGGAGTGTTCCATCCCTTTGAACAAAATAAAATCACTTTTAGCACGAATATCATACACTTTTTTTTCTACAAACGCACTAAAAGTGATTACTTTTAGCACTAGTGCTAAAAGTAATCACTTTTAGCACCAGTTTCATAAAATGGCATTTTAGACACTGACAGCATCCGTTAAAAATGACACTTTTAGTGAGGTTTGTAGAAAAAAATATTTATTCATACATTGCTATAAAGTAAAAGGTCTTACCCCATATTCCAGGATCGTCAAAACAGGAGTGATGATTAGAAACTGTTACTAGTGGCCTAGATTGGTCTCTTTTTGCTAGTAAATTGGATATGATGTGTCTATTGTGGATTTTTGATTTGTTTAGGAATTCTAAAATAAAAAAGTAATTATTATAAGTGATCTGGCTTGTTAAACTTAAAGTGAAGGTTTGCATTTCTTTTCTCTCCTGATAATTAATAATAAATTTCCCTCAATGCTTAAAGGCACTAAGGCACATGAACACCTATAAACTTAAAACATGTTGCTTTAAATACCCTGTCCTTTTATATATACAAAACAAAATCCTTGAGTTATAGTCCAATATCCATAAACATAATAATTCTTATGATTTTGGTAATAGTTGGGGGGTGTGATTTAATCAATACTACAGTATGTAGGTAAACTTGCCTCTGTCTATAACTAAGATCCCAATAAAAACTTGATATTTTTTTGTGACTTATTAAAACGCCAGTATTTAGTGCAAGGGCATAGAGTTTCTGAACCGTTCGAATAAATACATAATTAAATAGATTCGTTATTTGTTCAAAATAATGTACATCCAATTTTGAATCCTTTTGAAGATGCAAGGAAAACTAGAACGAAACAATAGTTAAAAAGCATAATATTTTATTTTCAAATGAAATCCTATTAACCCAGCCGATTGTTTTTTGGGACTAAAACTTCAACCATTTGATGCAGAAATTTATGAAGATGAAAAAAAAATAACCTTGATGCTTGATGCAACCCTTATTAAAATAATATCAAAAAGAAACGATAGACGCTTGCATTATTCATTATTATCTAATCAGCATCTAGAATGAATAACAATGACACCAATAATGAAATTAAATAGGTATATTAAGGATCAAAGCAGTTTTATTTGCAACTGGTTTTACAAGTTATAAATAGAAGCAAAATGTTTAAGTGTCACACATCAGAATAATCAATTTTTTGGGGAATAACGATTTAGATCTAAAAATTAATTTTGATAAATATATAATCAAATGATTCAAAGATTATCTTTGACACTTAAGCATCAAAAATGAGGTCTATAATGCTAGGCAATCTCATAATGAGAAAAAGGGCTTGTATAAAACCTAAGTTCTGATTAGAGCCTCCAATTAAAAATTCGGTGTTGTTCTGGCCTATGGGGAAAAAAGGACTACTAGATTTATGAAAGCTAGCAGTTCCCTAAGTATAGGTATCACTATAGTTAGGTATCGGGTCTTCAAAAAAAAAACCAATCAAAGATTGCTTTGACTACGAAAACGTATGTCGCATTACTGTTTCTTTATTCGTCAGGATTTTTGACAGGACATTTTGACATTAAATTTCATTGACAAAATTAAAGACAAATATTGCTAAGACATACGTTTAAAAAACCATAGCAATCTTTGATTGGTTTTTTTTTTGAAGACCCGATATAATAATAACGACTTCCCACCATTCTTTTCCAATAAGGTGACTACATGTAGGTACCTACTAATCAACTTAAACATAAAAATTAAGTGCTTTTTATGTGCACCTTGATAGTCAGTGGAAAACCTGTATTTAGTATATCATATTAAAAACCAGAAAATACATTTTTACAACTAATTAGCACATAAAAAGCCTATAGTTTTTATATAAGCCTCCATTTTTTTTATCCACTGGAACCACTTACTAGGTTTATACTCGGATTTATAGGCCTTCAAGATACATATATGGTAATTTACGAGGGGTGGTTAACTCTTTAAAATATGTACACAGATTTCAAATCTTCATTAATTTTGTAGGATTTTGAAAATCTTCACATGATTTTACAGGATTTTAAAAGATTTTAGGTAATTTTGGAGCATTTTAGGAAAGTTAGAAGGGTTTTTAGAGATCCTAAAGGATTTTTAGAGATTTTAACGGATTTTTGGGGATCCTAAAGGATTTTTTTTTGTTCTAATAAAATTTTGTTAGATTTTTAAAGATTTTCAGGGATTTTGAGTAGATCTTATATAAATTTAGGATTTTGAAAATCTTCACGTGATTTTACAGGATTTTTTAAAAGATTTTAGATTTATGAGATTTTAGAGAATTTAGAAAGGGTTTTTATGGCGTTTTTACCAACTAATTTAGGGAGCCTTAACGATAAGTAGGTATTTTTTAATAGTAGATTATACCACGAGTCAATAATGATAGCTATTATTCCCGAGGAATATTTACGAACTGAGCCGCGTTAGCGGCGAGGGAGTAACATTTCAAGGGAATAATACCCATTATTGCGAGTAGTATACTCTACTCGAGACTCTACTTTATTTATGACAAATAAATTTATTTGAGATTTTTAATGAACAAATTTCATCCATCACAATTTTCAATGGAAATCCACAAGCACTAAACGTTTGACACTGACACTTTTGAGGAATAATGACCATTAATCCCGCTACTCGTCATTATTCCCGGGAGGAATAACATATGTCATTATACTGCCAAAATCACAAGTATAATTCTTACATTATACATTAGTCGTAAATAAACTGACATTTCTCCATAGAAGACTGGTATTTTAAGGAATACTTATTGTTGAAGCTCCCCTCAAATAGTTGGGTGACACGGCCATTAGAGATCCTAAAGGATTTTTAGAAATTTTAACAGATTTTTGAGGAATCCAAAGGATTTTTGGAAACTTTGCCCTGGGGTATTAACACCCTCATAATTCCCTTGATACATAATAGTAGATTATACCACGAGTCAAAACGCGGCGAGGGAGTAACATTCCGAGGGAATAATAGCCATTATTGCGAGTAGTATACTCTACTTTATTTACGACAAATTAATTTATTTGAGATTTTCAATGAACAAATTTCATCCGTCTCATAATTTTCAATACAAATCCACAAGCACTACACGTTTGACACTGACACTTTTGTGGAATAATGACCATTAATCCCGCTACTCGTCATTAATCCCTGGAGGAATAACATATGTCATTATACTGCCAAAATCACAAATATAATACGCACATTATACATTAGTCGTAAATAATAGTAGATTATACCACGAGTCAATAATGATAGCTATTATTCCCGAGGATTATTACGAACTGAGCCGCGTTAGCGGCGAGGGAGTAACATTCCGAGGGAATAATAGCCATTATTGCGAGTAGTATACTCTACTTTATTTACGACAAATTAATTTATTTGAGATTTTCAATGAACAAATTTTATCCGTCTCATAATTTTCAATACAAATCCACAAGCACTACACGTTTGACACTGACACTTTTGTGGAATAATGACCATTAATCCCGCTACTCGTCATTAATCCCTGGAGGAATAACATATGTCATTATACTGCAAAAATCACAAATATAATACGCACATTATACATTAGTCGTAAATAAATAACTATTATAAAATATGCCAGATTTTTTTTTTGTTCTGATAAAATTTTGTCTGATTTTGTGAAATTTTATGCGATTTCAAGTGATTTTGTGAGATATTGTTAAATTTTTAAAGATTTTCAGGGATTTTAAATATATCTTACAAGTTTTTCTGGATTTTAACCAAACAACCGCTCCGAGGTTTAGTTAACTCTATAAAATAATGAACACATATTTTAAATCTTAATTGATTTTGTAGGATTTTGGGAATTTTGAAAATATTTACATGATTTTACAGGAGTACAGAAGATTTTAGATTTTCAAAATTTTAGGTGATTCTGGAGCATTTTAGGGGTTTTTGAAAAGTTTTTAGAGATTCTAAATTCAAATGACAGATTTGAATGGAAAAACGGAAATTCCTAGACATTTTACTATAGGATTGCATAATAGTTTTCCGAATTTCATCATATGATTCTATGGAATTCCACCATAAAATTTAATGGAATTCTTGTACAAAAATTCCTCGGAATTACAGTAAAAGATTTCATGAAATTTCTCGGAATTCCACTAAAATTTTATGTAATTCGACAAAAATTACTCAGAATTTCACTAAAATTTTATTCAATTCTTCGGAATTCCGCCGAAATTTCTCGTGGTTCCATGGAAATTCCACGAAAATTCTGTTTAATTCCAAGGGAATTCTTCGGATTCCATGTAATTTCACTGGAATTCCACAATAAGATTTCAAGGCCTTGACCTTGAAACAAAAAAGGGTTGTCGTAGATTAATAATTCATATGACACATTCAATTCTTCTGGTTCAAGAACCGACGAACGTTTTTGACGTCATTGATTTGTTTCAGTCAATTTCTATTTGTTAAAAAAGGAAGGCAAATTATCTCAAAAGTATGAATTCTCGTGAAACAAAGTTTAATTTGATGGAAATTTTGCAAATTTTTCCAATTTTTTTTTTTTTTTTTTTTCGAAATCTCACTGAAATTCTCCAAAATTCTATAGAAATTCCAAATTCCATAATTTTTTTAAAACTTTACTGAAATTCCCCAAAACTTCATCACTGAAATATCCTGGAATTTCACAAAATTTTTTGGAATTTCATTGACATTTCCTGTAATTTCTTAGAAATTCCTCGAAATTTCACTAAAATTTTATGAGAATTTTTTGAAATTTCACGTTATTAAGAGTCGAAAATTTCATTTATTTCCATAAAACTTCAAGTAAATTCCTCCGAAATATATTGAAATTTCATATCATTAAGTACATAAAAATTTTTCCAAATTTCACTGAAATTCCAAGTTTTTAGCCGGAAATTCCTCGGAATTCCACTTGTGAAATTTTCTCTAATTTTACTAAAATTCAGTAATTCGATAGGAATTTTTCGGAATTTCAATTTCACTAAAATGCCTTGTTTTTAACTGGGAATTTCTTGGAATAAAAATAAAACTTCTTGTAATTACATTAGAATTTTTGGGAATTTCACTGGAATTCCTTTATAAAACGATGAGTTGTTCAAAATTCCACTTAAGTTTCATTTAATTCCCTGACAATTCCTTGGAATTCCATGCAATGGCATCAGAGCTTCATATAATTTGACGAAAATTCCTCGGAAATTATGTAATTTTTTGAAACTTTTCTAAAATTCTTTATGTAATTTAACGAGCACTGAAATTCATGTTGGGAATTTCGGTGTAATTCAATGTAATTGTTTAGAATTCCTCCATGTAACTCATTCAGGATTTCGT